ATCCAGATGAAGAATGAAAGTTCATTTGTACATTAAAACTGTGGAGAAAAGAACATCTTCCCTCAGTGTTTAGGTTCCAGCCCTTTCTCCTTTCTAATCTTCAGTTGTCATCATCATAGCTTAGCAATAAAAGGGGATTAACTGACTCTATAATAGTCTATTACATACAGCCCAACCCACTCCTTTTCCAAGTTTCAAAAGAACAAATATGATGTGGTAGAAGATTTTATGTATGACTTGCTTGCAGAGTAGTAAAAAGCCATATGCTTTTATATCCATTTACAAGATTATTGAGAGCTGTGTCTTTATTTTGAGCTTACATTGCAGTGATGGTGCTGCCTATGACTTACCAATATTATCTACATTGCCCTAATGGGGCTCCAGCAAATGAAAATGAAATACCGAATTTCTTCTTTACTCCTTGATTAACTGACCTTGAAACACAGGTACATGACGGTCCTTTCAAAGTCCATTTAAACTTGGAAATACATTGCCTGGTATCTAAAAGGATTAGATTTGCAATACTGATCTGATTCACTTCCTAAAAGATTAGCATGGCTGTAGTTTTGGTTCTGCACCACAGTGCCCACTAAAGAAGTCGGCTTTTACTTGCCTCCTGCTTTGTATAAAACTGGAACAAATACAAAGGAGTCCAGATTAAGAGGTCCAGAATTACAGGCTCCATCAATCTTTCTGGGCAACAGGATCAGTACTGTAGGGGAGAAAATGGCAATGGCAGGTCTCTCTATCTCACGCATGCAAGTACTGGTCCACAAAGGCAGCCTTATGTAGACTGTATCACCATAATTTAACCTGGACATACCAATGTATGAAAAACTAAAATACATTTAGTCCTCTCCAAATAGAGGTATGGCTGCCTTGCCATCTTATCCTGCTGGAAAAGTTATCCTGACTTTGTCCATTTAACACAGAGTCCATCTGGGCACTTGCTCTTTCAGAGTCTGTGTGGTCTCATCTAAGTATAGTTATGAATCTCCATCTAGAATATTTAGTTTACCAGTTCATATGATTCAATGACCCCTCAATTTTTTTATATCGCCAACAAAGAAAATCTGATATCCATCCTTTTAAATACATTCCTGGGGATGTCCAGTAGACTCAAAATAGAATCCTTTGATTAATCAATTTAAATCTTAAATCTGATGAAACTGATTTGACATCTTTTAAGACCTGCAACCATCCATGTTCCATTATCGGATGTTTCAGTTCTTTAGTTCATACGTTGTAAATGTCATTAATAACAATTTTGCAAACATTCAAATACGAGGTGGGTTTAGTGTTGGATATCAACTCCATCAGAGATTAAAGCATCTAAGGTTCTTTGAAATAGCCAAAGCATCTGGTCCATCTTGAGCCCTCTGGTCCATCTTGAGCCTGTGCTTGACTTGATTACATTGACTTGATTACATTGACACTGTTGTGGATTAGGGAGCCAAATTCTGCTTGAAGTTCAGAAAAATCCTTAGAATAATCAGGTGTTAGCAAAATCTTGACTGATTTGAATCAATACAAGACAAGTACACTTAAGGAGGAATAAAAGGAAAATACTTTATATTGGCTTAGATTGTGAATTTAGGACAGCATTACTTAATATGAAGGACATGAGTTCTTCAAGATCTCAGTGGAGGTCTTTTCTATCACCAGTCTGATCGTTTTGGCTGCCCAGACATACCAGTGATCAAATACAAAGCTTTCTACATGCTAGGCAGGCTCTGCTCTCCCAGTGAGCTATGGAAATTCCCATTCTAATTCTGGGTACAAGCCCTTTAAAGGAAAAGATGTAATAACATTACTCTAAGGGAGCTGGAGATTCTGTTTTTACTGTTGTGAGGCTAAAATATTGCCAAGAAATTTAAGCTGACAGATAAAATCCAACCTTGTCTTCTCATAATGTAAGCAAAGCCCTGTCTGGGTTTTCTCCACTTGAGTTTAATCAGTTTGGCCATTAATGTTATTTTCATGATTGGTAATGGGATGAATTCATAGATGTATGCTTCTACAGAGCCTCGGAACAGAAGAAGCCCAATCTATTTATAGTCAGTAGAGGAGAACTCTGCTTACTTTCATGTTAGGCTTGCTGGCTGCATTTGTGGATCTGTGTTCTTATTAACGCAAAGGCTGGCCCCATCTGTTGAAAAGAGCGAATTTTTGTCATTAATCAGAACCTTAAACCCAGGACACATCCTTTAAGAAAGTTTGCTCAGGCACTAACTTCAGCATTTGTTCTGGCTCCCAATTTGTCTTCCTGGCAACACAGTTTTTTTTTACTTGTAAGCCTCTTCATAGTTTAGTCATTAATCCTTGTAGACAGTACCTCTTCCCCTACTTTGTTTTCCTCATAATTCTGGTTTACCTTAAAGCTCCCTCTGAACGTCACTATCCATGCTTTAAAATAGCCAGGAGTAAATATGGATTGCAATGGAATGTAAATGCTTGCTATCTGAAGGTTGGTGATGCACTTCCATTTTAAAAACTAGTAACCGTTGGCTATTGCTAGGTAGACATAAGTATATAACATAAGCAATGTCCTGCTGGATCAGTCCCTTGGCCTATCTAGTCCAGCTGTCTGTTCTCACAGTGGGCAACCAACTACACAAGGGAGCCCACTAGTCTCCCAGCAGATGGCCTTCAGAGCAGTCACACTGCTATCAAGGCTACTAACCGCTGATCCTGATGATGTCCATGAATCAGTCCAACCCTGTAAAAGATAGGTCATGAGGGCTCACCTGGATATGCGTGCCTGGGTGGATAGCAGCCAGGATACAAATCCTGGGTGGGTCTGTGAAAGAGAGGCAGACAAAGCATTGCTCTTCAAACTATTGATTTTCTGCATGGCCAGTATTTGTTGTCCCATGAAGCCATGCAGCTTTTTCTTGGAGAAATACACATAATGACACAGTTAAATATTACACCTCTGCTTGTTTTCCTTCTATACATTCTGCTTGCAGCATATATAAGGGGTTATCAAGGATGCACAAAATGTTTCATGCAGATACCATTCTCTGCTTGGAACAGCTGGTTTCACAGCCCATGCATGAACTGAAACCTGCACAATATGCACCAAAACACGCATAGCTGTTGCTAGAAGTCACACTGATGTCATGTGTTGTGACTTCATTGCACAAATGAGGCAAATTTGCATTATTTGGGTAATGGTATCATGACATACCTGAGATACACACGTCCCTGGAAGCTGTCCAAAGTTTCTGGCCTGGCTTGGTGATCTATAGCACAATACTGTGCTCATTTCCTCTCCCTTGTATTTTTATCCAAATGCTATTGGGCGCTTGTGCTCAAATTCCTGGATCCCAATACATGTGTGTGCTTCCTTCACATATAATGTCAAGCCTCTCCTCCTTTTGAATGTTTCTTCCCTTCAATACTTCCATTCGTTTCATCTCCCCAAATTTCAGTAATGTCTGCTACATCATTCTGACCTTCCCGTTTTGTTCCCCACACTCTCTGTATTGTGTACACACTGGAACCCTAGAATCACGCAACTTATCTATGTTCCTGGATTTGCATGTTAATTATTAGGTGCCTCCCCATGCTGTTCACCCCTCCCAATCCCATTCTCAGTATTGGCATTGCGCTATTTTCTGGATTCTTTTCTTTCCCTCCTCCCCCCAGCATTCTATTTAAACACTTCAGTATTGGGTTTTCCAGGTGCTTTCCAAACGTATTTATTTGATTTATCCTGCCTTATCTCAGAAACGCATTCAAGAATCCAAACCATATCCATGGATCCCATCTGGATAGCCAACTGTTCACATTCAGTACTCTTTTCAAGGGCCACATCCTTCAAAAAAGAGAGTGAAGAAACCAGTACCTCTAACGCTACTCCTTCACTCTCCTGTCCAGTGTTTAATAGTCCCTTGCAGTGTCTTGTTTGAATTGCCATTTATTCCAGTAGAAATAGTTGTTATGGCTTCAGTCTGTTGAGGCTTTCATGTAATGCTTTTGAGTAAGATTGGCGTAGACAAGCCTTAGTTGTAACCTTGCCACATGCAGCATATCCTGATGGTATAGATAATACAAAGTTAGACACATTTTGGGATGTACGCCACAAACTCAATCAAAGCCAGGTTTTACACCAAGCATGCTCATGCTCTTCTATGCAAGCTAGGATCTCTAGCTAGAGACTACCTTGAGAGTCTATCTATTGTAATCTGCATCCCACCAACTGGGAGATATATGCCATGTACTGACATACACTCCAGATATATTTTAATTATTGAGATACTGGAGATATGCTAAATATTTTGAAACATGAAGCTACATTTGCTCATACCATTACTTTTCCAACAATTGGGTGTTTTGGTGTATATATGTGTATGTGTGTATGTTTGTGTGAAGTTGTAAAGCACAGTGGTGGCACGAGAATAGTTATAGCTGTGCCCTTCACGTAGAAGCAACACAAAGGTGTGTTGAAGCTTCACCACTGAAAAATTACTGTCTTCTATGCACAATATTTCATATTTTATTGTGTCCAATAATCAGATTATCATTTTCTATGAGGAATATAGTAAGACAGCATCTCTAACTAATTTTAACTCAATCTTACCCACCATTAACATGCTAATATAAAACAGCTTCCATAGTTAGTGATGTCCACTGGGAGAAGAGCGAAGAGGTAAGACTGATGAAACCAGCATTGCAGTGCTCTGCTGTACGCCCCACTCTTTTTATGTACATCACAACATGGCAGGCATGTCCCCAAAGGGGTGGGGCTTGTGCCATGACACTGCTTTCATTGGTTGGATGAATATGAGAAGATCCTGTAACACTGCTGTCTACAGTGTTGGCAAATTTTCATCTATAAACTAATTCTCAATTTAGAAGTGCTAATGCATCCAAAGATTTACAAGGGACTGTAATCTCAGAGACAGACTCAATGGTGCTGACTACATCACAAATTCAACATGACTATAAAGAATGAGAAGAGACAGACATTAAAACAAGGGAAAAACCAACAGTGGTTCATGTCAGGTGCTTTTAATTAAGAATCAGGTATGAACTGTAGCCAAATACAATTGTGAATAAAACCTCAATAAAAACATCTAAGAAAGGGAGAAGCATCAGGTTTATCCATGAAACTATATTAAAGAGAAAGGCGATATACATTGTTAGCGTGTTCCAATGAGTAAAATCCATCAAGAGGTTCCTTTGCAAAAACTTCATTATGATAAACAGGACTGGATATAAACACATTAGTAGGAGGATTAGGCCCAGTTTACCCAATTTCAGTGCTTAAGAGCAGCAATCTAAAAAAGATGCTTCAGTGACCTCAGGACATTATCCCCCATCAGCTGCCAAATAACAGAAAGCTCTAGTCGATCCAAACTGCACTTTTTAAACTCCTTAATTGGTCAACCTGAACAAGAGACCCTGAACTGAAAAAGCACTTTACACCTTTCAGCTCCGACAAGATTGGAAAAGACTCCCTTTTACAATCCAGAGATATACCTCAGAAACATCTTCGGCTTGAAGAACTTTATGCTGATTCCTTTTTAAAAGCTTGTTTCTTTTTAAAGTATCAAACAGGCTCTCTTTTCTTTAAATAAAAACTATCTGAAAGTCTTTTATAAATACTTTTAGAAATATAGTGTCTTTAAAAACACTGAAAACAGGGCAAATAACCATGTGGCCCACCAAACTTCAGGTGCTTCTTTGCATTCGTGCAAATCCTCCCTCTCTTTCAACAGCAAAAGTTAAGCAATTCCAGAAATGCCATTTATCTGAATTTGCTAATCCAACTCAATGCACATTGATATGACACAAATAGTTGTGCTGCCATGCAGGTGTGCACCAGGAAACCTAGTGCAACATCCCCACAATATAAAGTATGGTGTTAGTTACTAGGAACAACCAATTAATCAGAATGTCTTAAAACAAAGCCAAGCATTTGAAGATTGTTCAGCCTGCTGCTGTTTCATCTTCCATCTTCAGCACAAATATCCAAGTGTGTATGATGGCATCTAAAACACCCCTCAAAAAGGGCATTTTCCTTAGTTCTTTACAATTAATTCCGTGTTATTATTTTCTAGGGCTGTGCAATGCTTTGGATCAGATTCCAAAATGGTGATCCAGACTGAGGGAGAGCTGCATATCAGTGCTGTATATTCCTGCCTCCACACACTGCAAAGCATGAATTTTAGAATGGAATTCAAAGTACTACCCAGTCTTATTTTCCATTATATCTTTCAGGACAAAACTCAGAACTAGCCTCTTAACTTTAGTCACAGATATTGTCAATGGAGTATATAAAGACAGCAGCAGAGGGAACAGGAAGTAGTCTGAAGTAAAACATGATTTGTAGAGATGGGACTTTTGAGTTCACACCACTTCCAGGTGTGGACAATGGTCAACTCTGAGGGTGGAACCGCTTATCTGTGGTTAGTATGGAAGAAGGCTACAAGTGGCTCGCCTGACATCAGACACAGAGCCCCAAATAGTCTTTGTGAGAATTCCACATGGCATCAGAGGTATATATGTACAGTGTGTCTCTGTTATTGGGTCATCTCTCAGGAAATCCAGTTCTCAAGGTCAAAAGCAGAAATAACCTTTGGTATTTGGTTGGAAAAGTCACAATTTGTGCAGAAAGGGGAATTAAGGCTTGAAGGTGATGGGGAGAGAAATCCACACTACCTTTTAAAGTTACAGAAATGCGATGTCAGTTGCATAGCTATTTCTGGATATTGTAGATGCTGGACAAGGCTGGTCTAGGTGTGTGCAGCCAAAGATGGTACCCTGGAGCATTTCAAGGTGCAGGTGAAGGATGTCATCTTTAAAGTGTTCCTCCATATAAAAGACTTTCTGTGTAATATTAATACAACAGAAAATCTAATACATCAGGACATATGTGATACACTCAAGTTCTATTCCCACTATGGGAAGTAGCACCAGAAATCAGTCATATCATGAAACGTTTTTTAAAAAATACAGTGCTTTGTTTTTAAAGAAAGCATTGTTACAATGCCTTGCAATCAACATGTTGGAGTAATGTAACACTGGGGGCAGGGGGGTGGAGAACAAAGGGCTACATTTCAAAATTCATTGCTGTTATGCCAAAAGGGATCAAATAAATCAGTTATTTTTCATGTTATATTTCTTCTGAAGATCCCTTTATCAGATAGTTTTTAATCAGTAAAAAGCAGCTCCATCCACATATTTGATATTTCTCCAAGCTGTTCTCTCCTTTCTTTTCCTTTTATGTTTTGTTATAATAAAACATATTATTAAATACATTTTATTAAATATGTCTTATTTTAACGAACGATCTTGATTATTTTGTGTACTCGTTAGGTCTCAAAAGAAAACAAAAGCAAGCACACACCCCCTCCCAGCACACACCTCATTATTAGCTAATGCTGCTCAATTTTTCTTTTCTTGCAACCAGGTCAAGTGACATAGGCCAGTGTAAAAATAAACACGTAAAACGTCTGCAGATTTATATCCTGTGTGATATATTTGAAAGAGATGTGCTGGATTTTGGTATTTGAACTCTGTGCTTCCATCTTCCCTCTATTAGGAAAAGACCATATGATGCTCACAAAATGTTTTGGACGACTAATTCCAGAATCTCCAACCACTGGCCCCACTGGCTAAGGTTCTGACAGTTATTAAAAACATCTGGATGACAACAAGTTGCCTATCCCTGCTTGGCATAAATGGCTGTCTTCTTGCAATACAGATGGGAGCTCATTAGCATTAATGTGTAAAATAAATATGGGTATTCTGTCAGAGGGCTTCATTTTCTCTCTTAATTAGATTGCACACCTTGTCCTTAGCATACATACAAATATTAGACAATGTATCCTGTTCATCACCAAACATGACTATTCACCCTGCAGAACAGTAATTAGTAAAAGACCAAAATAAAAAAAACAAAAAATGACCCTTCTAACACCGGACCATTTCAAAATACAAATATCCATCAGGTTTCTACAAAAAGTATTAGTACAAAGGGCAACATTAAAAAAGAACTGGGAAAAAAGTTAAAAGGACACAGAGAAACCAGTAACAGAAACCAAACACAAAACGGAGAGAGATGCTCCTTTTCTTTCTCCAAAACCCAACAGTGTTGCTTGGTCTACCAGTTGTCCAGAAAATCAAATCCCGTCTTCAAGATAACATTACTTGCATTACTCTGTAGAAAGAAAGAAAGAAAGAAAGAAAATCTGTGTTAGAAAAGAAAGCAAAGAGTTAAAACTCAAAAAAGGTATAAAATCAATACTAATCAAGGCAAGAGTTACAATATTGCACAATGGATTGGGTCTAGACCTCGCCTTCTGCAAACACTGCATTAGGAAAGCTTTTGATCCAATAAAGAGTTTCCAGCTGGAAAGAGATGGGTTTCATGGTTCTCCCTTCCTTCTGGAGATCTTATGGCTTCCCAAAAATTTACCTCAGAGGGCTGGCAGGAACTGGGGAAGGAAGGATATGAAAGAATTGCCTCTCCCCTACTGCCAGCTAGAAAAGAATTCCATATATCCTGTTTGGCAGAAATGGCTATCAAAGGTTTCACAGGCCAGCTGCACAAAGTGGTCCACAGCCACATATGCTGTGCTCAAATATTCTGCTATTTCAGATATTCTGAATATAAGCAAATTATGATTGGCTCTTCACTGGACTTTCTCTCAGAAGGCCCCAGCTCCCAGAAATGTCTGCTATCCAAGCAACGTTTAAAATTAATGGGAGATGTGTAGGAATAACAGCATAAACAGAGAGGCTGGGTTATCCAGAAACAAGGGCTAGGTACCAATTTTGCTTGCACAAAAATGAACAATACACATTATTCCCCCCTGCTCCCCATGGCAACTATTCCTTTAAAGAACTATTCCCAGAAAATGAGTGGGGAGGGGGTCACTCATCATTTTGTCCCTTCAGCCACTAAACAGATTTTATACATGAGATATAATGTGGGCTAGAAATAACAAATTTCTAAAATATAGAAGCCTTTTTGTCCAATTGCCCTCAAACTGGATAATCAAATTCAATATGGACTAAACCTACATAATGATCCATTATACAAGCTCAATTAGTTGTTATCTGGACATGCGCATAAAAACATAGTAATAGCCCTGCTAGATCATGCCAAGGCCTATCTTAGGCCAGCATTTTGCTTCTCATGATGGTCAACAAGCAAGAGATAGAGACATACATTTATAGATTTTTATTTATATAAAGAATTTAAATGGCTCCCAAATGTGAACAATGCAACTCTGGGCAGCTTTCAAAAAACATGCTCCTCTACATCTGCTGTTCTCTGCAAGCATCTCAATTTTATTTTATACATTTTTTATACATTTTTTTTTATACATCTCAATCATGCTCCCTGCCAGTCACCTTTTTCTCCAATCATTTTCTCATAGGCAGGTGTACAAGTCCCCTTTGCACGTTAGTTGCCCTCTTCTGCACCTTTCCCAACTCTATTATATCCTTTTTCAAATGCAGCAATCAGAACTATACTTTGTATTCCAGATGTGAATGCATGATAGGTTGGCAAAGAAGGCATCACAATGCCAGCAGTTTTACTTTCAATCCCTTTCACAATGATCCTGAGCATAAAATGTGTCTTTTTCATAGCTACCATGCACCAAGTTGATGTCTTCACTGAGCTATCAATTCTGACCCCCACCCCCAATCTCCTTTTCCTGTTTAGTTACAAAAAGCTCAGACTGTGTGTGTGTGTTTTGAACATGTACATCATTTTACATGAACTTACAGTGGGGCAAAAAATTATTTAGTCAGCCACCAATTGTGCAAGTTCTCTCACTTAAAAAGATGAGAGAGGCCTGTAATTTTCATCATAGGTATACCTCAACTATGAGAGACAAAATGGGAAAAAAAATCCAGAAAATCACATTGTCTAATTTTTAGAGAACCTGCACAATTGGTGGCTGACTAAATATGACCAAATACTTATTTTCCACCATGATTTGCAAATAAATTCTTTAAAAATCAGACAATGTGATTTTCTGGATTTTTTTTCTCATTTTGTCTCTCATAGTTGAGGTATACCTATGATGAAAATTACAGGCCTCTCTCATCTTTTTAAGTGGGAGAACCTGCACAATTGGTGGCTGACTAAATATGACCAAATACTTATTTTCCACCATGATTTGCAAATAAATTCTTTAAAAATCAGACAATGTGATTTTCTGGATTTTTTTTCTCATTTTGTCTCTCATAGTTGAGGTATACCTATGATGAAAATTACAGGCCTCTCTCATCTTTTTAAGTGGGAGAACCTGCACAATTGGTGGCTGACTAAATATGACCAAATACTTATTTTCCACCATGATTTGCAAATAAATTCTTTAAAAATCAGACAATGTGATTTTCTGGATTTTTTTTCTCATTTTGTCTCTCATAGTTGAGGTATACCTATGATGAAAATTACAGGCCTCTCTCATCTTTTTAAGTGGGAGAACCTGCACAATTGGTGGCTGACTAAATATGACCAAATACTTATTTTCCACCATGATTTGCAAATAAATTCTTTAAAAATCAGACAATGTGATTTTCTGGATTTTTTTTCTCATTTTGTCTCTCATAGTTGAGGTATACCTATGATGAAAATTACAGGCCTCTCTCATCTTTTTAAGTGGGAGAACCTGCACAATTGGTGGCTGACTAAATACTTTTTTGCCCCACTGTAAATTGAACACATGCTCATTTGGTTGCACAATCACTCACTTTAAGGGGAGCTCTTCATAATCAGTTTTGGTTTCTACCCTCACAAATGGAGAGAAACCACCTTCCCTCCTCCACTGCACATGTTAGACACTCTCTGCACACTGGAGCCACTGCTACAATTCTCACATGTACAGGCAATATCTGCAGGAGTTAATTGACTTTATGTTTATGCAAACATGTGCAGGACTTTAGGCAATCTCATTACCAGCATATGCTGCTCATTTTAAGATACGGAATAGTAATGTTCATCTTAGATTTTTAACCTCTGATCTCCAGGAGAAAAAGAAAGGATTTCAGTTGTAAGATTTTAGCACTCTACAAAACTCATTCTCTTGGGCAATGTCTGGAAAAAAAAGCTGTATTTTTTATTCATCTACTTCTGCTTGAGTTCTTTCTACCTATCATATCCTAACAAAGTGTTTCCCAACCTTGGCCACTTTAAGCTGTGTGTGGCTGGGAATTCTGGGAGCTGAAGTCCACACAGCTTAAAGTGGCCAAGGTTGAGAAGCACTGCTCTAACAGGTAAGATAAGAAATTAAGAATCACCCCTTACCTGGCCAAATCCTTGTAAATCTGGAACAAAACTGCTTTGGGCACCTTCATTTTGGGTTGCAGCAGATGACAATTTCTCTGCAGGTTCAGAGTGAGCATCAAAGGCACTAACTGCAGGTTGACTGGACTGAGGCTTTTCCCATTCTAGAGATGTGGTGGGAAGAACTGGGGTGATCACTTTTTCGGGCTTAGGAGCATTAGGCTTCTCTGCTTTAGTCGCCTCTTTTGGACCAGATTCTTGCCTATAACAAGGCTGGAGGGTTTTATCTCCTTTTTCCATGGATTTGATTTGGCTTGGGGTTAGTGAATAAAATTCAGACTGTTCCCCTTCATGCTTGGAGCGCTCAGCATTGATCTTCCAAAATGAGGACTCCTCCTCTTTTTTGGCTGGTATAAGCCCATCTGAGTTTTGTGGTTTACCCCCCTGGGAAGGTTTGGGGGCTGGGGGCCCAGGTGCGGTTTTGCTGGGCTGTTTCTGTTCGTGCTGAGGCACTGCATTCCCTGGTTCTTGGATCAACAGAGAAGCAATACTGAATTCCATTTGACTCTGTTGGGGGATTAAAAGTAAACAATGAACACTGGTTCTTTTCCATGGACGAACAGTATTTAAAATAAGACACAGGAGTAGTTCATTTCAGTTATAAACAGTATTTGGCATCTCATACAGAGCCCTGATGTTTGTAGGGTAGGGCAACTTACATTTGGTGCTAAAAATGGCAAATTCTGCAGTAGTGCAAATAAGGCAAAACAATGCTTTATTCTAGGCTAGGTTGGAGGAAAGAGACATTCTTCCCTCTTCTTCACTGGAGGGAAGAGACATAAGCAAAGCTTTGTCAGAGAAGAGGTTGAACATTTTAAGAATTTGCTTACTTTGAAGAATGACCTAAATCAGAGGTCAGCAATATACTGTCTTCCAGATGCTGCTGGACTGTGACGTCTTTCGCCATCAGCTATACTGACTAAGGCTGTTGGGAAATGGAGTGCCCACCCCGGTCCAAGAGATTTAAAAAAAAAAAGTACAAAGTACACATTCTCTAAGAGTTATTATAGGATGCTATGATACAAAAATGAAGAAAATGTTCAAATGGAAACAATCATTTAGTGGCTCTGGAGAAGGGAAAAAACCCAAACACCCTAACAGTGAGGTTAAAAGAGGCAACACAGCCCTCAATTGACTCTGCCCGACCAAAAGGTACTGAAGATGTTCTCTCTACTCCATGCACACCCCCTAGAAGAATAATTTTGGTCCAAGATATCTGCAAGTCATTTCCTCTCTCACAAACCATATTTTTAGTTTCCTGCTGTGTATTCAAGGCAGTAGGATGTAATGTATACCTTGCCATATGAATCTTCTGGCCAGGCCAAGATTTTTTTAAAAAGAATAATTGGTTGTTGGGAGCTATGCCATGGAATGACAGTCTGTGTTTAGACCGGACAAGGAGATGGGGGAAATGTTGGTAGAATAAAAATAGGACAAGCTGCTTAGCCCGGATGTACAATATTTAAATTTAATATTCCCAACCTAAACATTTATTTCACTAAGAATTTAATCCCTTCCTTTCATATTTTAGGAGATGAATTTTTAAATGTAAACATATTCAGTCATGTCGAAAGCCATACTGAATGCTTCACATATTTCCTCATTCCAAAAGACAACACAGAGCATATTTCCTTCCCAACTCTGCCCAATTAAATATCCATTCAGTAGTCAAGATTAAACCCTAATCCTTAATGGATATAAAAAAGAACACAAACCTAATGCAAAAAGCATCTAACACCACACCCTTTTGTCACTGCTGCATCAGTCAGAGAATGGTCACTTAGAATAGGTGAGTAACCAGTAGTCTTAGGACCCACACAGCCCCTTCCTCCCCATATTTCCTTCTATGGCCATTGGAATCCCATCCAACCATAATGCCAAATGCCAGTTGTGGCAAAGGCAAGGAAACACAAAAACTCTACTGTAAGTTCTACAGTAAGATAATGTAATTAAAAAACAAAGACTATGTCCAACCTCCTTCCAAAACTCTAATTCAATTTCTGGAAATCCCGTTCCTGCCCATGTCTGCAACATGGTTCCAATAATTCATAATGTGCCCTATCTACTGCAGCTTTCACTCCGTTCACAAATGCTAAGTGCAGCTTCGCCCATTAAGATATTTTCGTCTCTTGCCCCAGACCTGCTTTCATCAACCTGGGAACCCTTCTGAAGTGTGGACATCATTTCCCAGAATTCTCAGCAATTATTACAACAGCTGGAGAATTCTGGGAGCCTAAGCACATATAACTCACAGGCATCCAGGTAGGAAAGGGTGCTGTAGTCCAAAAACTCCTTTTCTATTCCTGAATCTTTTAATCACACCACCAGTCACATTTGTTTGTATTGTGGCTTGATCATTAGGGATGGAAGTATATGTGAAGTTCTTTCTTCTCCCATTTCTACCAGGAAATTTAATTAAATTCATTTCAAGGTAGCTTACAGCTGAAAACCTCTCATCAGCTGTATCAAAGACTTCAACAACTTAGGCACTTTCCAGATTTGCAGATTTCTCACAATTCCCAATACCGGCCAGACTTATGGGGAGGATGTCCAAGTTGGGAAAGATGCTCCATGGACCAGAAGAAAGACCGTGGAAGCTGCACTTCTGCTCTCCCAGAAGTTCCCTTTGCAGGCTCCATACCCAACCACTACCACCCCTCCCAGCATGCATGGGTTACATTATAAGGCTGACTCCCATCATGCTGGATCAAGCTGGATCTGAACTGACACATACTCAACTCTGAACTAAAACCAGAGAATACCACAAGAATCCAAAGAGCTATTTTTATATCTTATGCACTTGTGGGGAATGTGGAGTATTTCATGAAGTAGATAGCATGCAGAGCCAAAACAAGCTGTTTGGCTTGGCAACTGCAAAACAGAAGAGAAAATAGTGGGGGTGGAAAAGTAAGTCAAACAAACCTGTAGGACAGGAGCTTACAAAAATGTTCAAAAACCCTAAATTCAAGCAGAACGTAGACTTTCACAAAGCAAGATTCTATTCAAAAGACATTAAGTAAGAACCTACAACAGGCTGCACTGATACCCTTGAAGCACATATTGCTAGGGAAAGCTGTTCTATAGCTGTATTTGCTCAGTGCCTTAAACTTGGCTAAAATGGGATTGAATAGTCTGTGGTTCAGTGGCATGCAACTATTGTCTTATGTGCTGTCTTGAAGTAAACCACCTTATTAAACCATAATATGATTTATTTCAGCACAGAATATTATGTGAACATAGCAATTATGTTAAGCTGATCCACGTTCAGTTAAGCAACTTAAGTGAACCTAGCCTACTTGCTTCAGCAATTAAGAATTTCTTTCTGTACCAAAGACAAGACCCTTGAGGAGTTCAATCAACCATGTTCCTAGTGATGGTGAAACTCTTCAAACTATTTTTATATAGATCCAGAAACTGAAGTGGGTCCAAGAGTTCCTCCTTCCATTGCCAATGGCAATGGACAGAGAAGACAGGGCTACAATCCATAACTATGGATCTCCATACATATGGGAATCTAAATACTGCTTCTAACAATACAACTATCATGCCAAGACCAGTATAAACAATCCTCTTATTGCAGTTCCTCTTGAGAAGGAAATAAACAGTGTAACCTGTCTCCATATTGCTCCCAGCCATTGCTAGGAGTGACAGGTATTGGCAAATTGACAAATCATAAAGTGGAAGGTAATCCATATGGCTGGTGTGTCAGTCTCTGTTACAAGGGTGGGCAAGTCATGACTCAGAGATCAAAGGGAGACATCTGAAAACTACCATGGGCTTCACACTTTCCAATATCATGATCTATTTGATGGGCTCCAAAGAGCAGTACAGCTTGTCTTGTCCTCCATTCAAAAAAGGTTTGGGCATAGTGCAGTCTTGCTGCCGACAGAAGGGAGAATGCACTGGTCTTGCCTTCCTTCACTGGGGCAAGAGCCACAAATCACTTTCTTTAGCCTCTAAAGCTAAGATGTGGAACTGGTGGCCCTCCAAATGTTGTTCAGCAAGGACAGGGATAATGAATCTTGGAAGCTATAAGTTTAGGAATATCTGGACAGCCACAGATACTGAAAGCCCTCTTCACAAATTTTCAGATAAGCCAGAGAACAACAGTAGGAGGGGGTAAATCATTCAACGTACACCTTCCAGCTCTGAGTAGTAAAGCCTGAAATTAATTAATTCAGTTGAATGTTGTGATCCCAAGGAAATTTTTACCCATGTTCAGCTGAAGATGAATCAAAACTCCTTTCAGATTTTGCCTCTCAACATGGCAAAATCTGAAAGTGAGCAGGTGGGGCAGGCACACACAGAGGACACAGGGGGTTGCAACAGCATATGTGACTCCATCTCTTTCCCACTTTAGCCCTCATATGCTATAAGAAACATGTAAAAAGGGTTTAAAAACTATATGCAAAAAATGCAACAAACTCTATTTCAGTCAGTTTTCTTGTGTTTAATTGCTCTGCATACATTTTTGCTAAGGGAATCAGAAAAAAAGTTTGAATTCCACAGAAAAATGTGTACATGGAGAGAGGGAGGAGGTTTATATATGGATATACTGTGGTGCTTAAAAGTTTGTGAACCCTTTTGAACATTCCTGGGTGAAGCTGTTTTTAAGGAGGAATAGGATAAAATTCCTCCAAGCCAATGTGCAGGACTGATTAACAATTAAAGGAAACATTTAGTTGCAGTTATTGCTACCCAAGGGGGGCACCCCAGTTACTGAAAGCCAAAGTTCACATACTTTTGCCACACACAAATACGAAGCTTTGGATCATTTTCCTCAATAAATAAATGAACAAGTATAATGTTTTTGACTCATTTTTAAAATTGGGTTCTTTTTATCTACTTTTAGGACATGTAGAGAACGGATCATGTTTAGGACATATTTATGCAGAAATATTGAAAATTCACCTGCTACCATAATTCAGGTGTGAACAGCAGAGGCGGCCCTCCAGGTGTTCCTAGGTTGCAACTCCTTGTAGTCCTCAGAACTAACTATGCTGGGCAGGGCCAGGAGAAACACAAGGTCAAGATTGGGAGGGCCACACACTACTTGATCCTGCTTTAACTGGGTTATTAGGGGAGCCTCTGCCATAATGGCTGAGGATCATATGAACTGTAGCTGAAACAATCTAGAGGGCACCAGGTTGGGAATGGCTGATCCCACTGATCTCAGGACTCTCACCAAGCTAAGTTCTACCAATGAACACCACAGCCAACTTTTAAATCAGTGTGTCTGTTTCACACCTGAAGCATCATTCTATCTCATTTTAAAACATGACCTTCCCCAACATAGACCTACAATCAACAGCCAGCTGCCAAGGGCTCTGTTGGGAGAACTGTAAGGATAAACAACTATTGTTAAGAAACAAAAATCCATTAGCAAAATTTCTGAGAGAGAAAGAGAGAGAAAGAGAGTGCTCTATCTTTAGACAGTCCTATTCTGAAGATGCTGATTTAGTAATATAGTAAGTCTCCAAATAAAGAAAGCCAGAAGGTAATTATGACTCTTTGCCTCCCAACCCCCACGTTTCAGAACTTTATATATGGTTCTGAAGTACTCAAATAAGAATAACCCTCACAATGGACATGAAGGGGAAAGGGTGAAGGGTGGCCTCTCTCTTACCACGTTTCTATTCTTTACCCACAACTATTTCTCAGAACATTCTAGGAAACAAATCTTCAGCAGAAAAAAGCGTGCAACTGCTTGTAATATACAGTTTAGTTTTAGAATTCGAAATGTGCTGTGCCCTTTTCCTCAAGCAAAATTAAGGCAGGTCAAGCTCAAGAAAGAAAATGGTACAACGCTAGCCATAGAGCGTTGAACACACATAGAACACACACTGCTACTTATCAAAGATGGAGGGAGAAAATAAAACAGATGCAAGTGATATCTGAGGCTCCAAAGGTCAATTCTAAGAGGGCCATGCATTCCACGGAACAGTCTTTCAAACAAAATTTCACCTAGGAAAATAAGAAAGGCAGTGTAAAATGTTTCATTGCGGCTCTGTACTACTTCTTAAACACGGCTTGACTTGTTTTCTTTCAGACACTGTAGCCTTAAGAACTATTAATTTGAAATGGCTAACAACTTACTAATATTTTTGCAGAGGTCAGGTGAACAAAAACTCTCACTAACAACAGCTTATTAGATGCATCTGTCAAAAGTCTAGGTTTGGTGAACATAAACAAGTCAATGCCTACAAACTCGATACTGAGAACCAATATTCAGAGTGCTGGACCTCAGAAACACAGGAAGCTATTTTGTTCCAAATCAGATCGTTGACCTGTCTGGCCCAGTATGCTGCTGAATGACAACTCCCAGCAGTCTCAGCTAGCATGGCTAATGGCGAAAGATGCTGGGCATTAGAGTTCAGCAACATCTGGAAAGTCATTAGCTTCCCATACCTGTACTAGTAGACCAGCTTTTTCATGAAATTCATTAGTGACTTTGGTCCAGTTATCATTGTGTCTCTACAAAACACATTTCACAAGATTATTGTGAGCATGAAATAAGGGGTCCTTGTACTTCTATTTGTTCCTCGGAAGATAAAAGGGTAAAATGTATTATTTTTATCATTATCCTTGTTTGAAATTTATTTTGAGAAATCAGAGTTTTTCTGCTGTTGAAACCTATATTCCACAAGCTCATACATAATTGCCCCTGGGCCCCAAAAGGGCATTCTATTCTGAAACTAAACAAACTTGACAATTATCACAGGCAAATATAACAATTTCACAAAGTTACCTTAGTTTCCCAAGAAAAAGGAGCAGAGTGTTCATCTTGCCAGGTGATATCCTGAAATGAAAGCAAAAACACACAAATAAGCACGCACTTCCCTCAAGGCAAAAGAAACAGAATTACTCAGTATACCTTAAAACTGAAGTCAAATGGAATTCTTCCCCAAGTAAGGTACCATAAATAAAAGGGTATGAAGGAAGAAGCAAATGTTCCCAAAAAGTAAGTCAATGCGAGGACTAAATCTCCAGCTCGATCATGAATATGATTATTTGTCTTATAAAATTAATCCACAGAAAAAATGTGATTAATGACAAAGTATCTACACATTTTCTGAACTCCAGAACTGTGGGACTTCTTTTATTACATAAGGACATATAAAACGCCATCATTCCACATTCACAGATACAGATGCTCCATTCAAAACCTAACCTTAACTGAGAAAATTCTCCCTTCTCCCCTGCCCCCCAAATGTTTAACCCCTTCAAAGCAGAGTCCACCTGGGTTATTTCAGGTTCACTTATCACTTGCATGAGAGTTATGAAGGCGGTCATGACTTTGGCCACCCCTAACAAAACAGGACTGCTCTTTTTCTCCAGCATACTGAAGTCTTTCTGTCTGTCACAGAACTCCAGTGTAAGCTTGGGAAAAAAGTGCTGAAGAACACTTTTGTAGTTTGGCTATGCCCAGCAAGCCTCTACTTTAATGGACACTTCAAAGGCCCATTATTGTGTGATACTCTTTGCTTGGTAAGTCCCAAATTGTTTTCTCCCCTGAAGTGCTGGAACTGCAACTCCCAAATTTCTTACTCAGGATTGACTGGGAATTCTGAGAGTTATAGTCCCAGCGCATCTAAATCTAGCATGTACTTGTTGGAGGAAAGTTGCTTTAGCTCAGGAGTTGCTTATTTATTATTTATTTACTGGGCAACCAGGCTTGAAGACACTCCAAGCATAAGACATTCTGGGCAACACATATACCCAATATGGTAACTGGATAGATAGACACACACACACATATATCCCAAACATTTTTAATTGTTTAAATTTAAATTTTACATAACGCTGGTATAGTTTAGCGTTCATAATTTCTGATATAGGCTGATACAAGGATGCTTATTTCTTGTATAAACAATAAAATCTCACCATTCCTTGGAGAACAGTGATTTGCTACTTTGCATTGTCAAACAATGGATTTTATCAGAAACTTTCTTAAGTAATGCTTTAGACCAGAGCTTACCATACCAACTCTCCAGAGATATTCTCTAGCTATTTCTATTTTAGCAATACTGTAATTAATTTGGCTCCTATTAAAGAGGGTTTGTTGGGGGGTCTGGGTTTATTTTACTTTTCAATTTCTTGATCTGACCATCAAATATAGATAGTAAACGTAACTTTCGAGAAAACTCAATATTCCGTTTAGCTATATATGTCCTCTCATTATAAACTTCCTTCCAAAAACCTGAAACTTTATCATATTCCAAACATGAAAGAATGTTTCCTTCAGTTTACAATCTTGCCTACAATTCATTAAAGGTTTACAAGATATATAGCAGACTGCGGTGTCTCTTATGATGATAAATTTGTTTGTGTCATAATTATTGGTTCTTACTTGTGCTGTTGTAGGCTGGTAAATGTTGCCTATCCTATTTTGGAATTTAGAGCCAAATTACTTTTTTTAATAAATACTGAAGTCCTTCTATGCAATTGAAGACTTTCCATATATCTAGAGAATACATGATTAAAGGAGCTGAATTTCTTTTGCAAAAATGAAGTATAATATAATATCTTTCTGCTGAGCTAGACATATTCCATTATTATAATTCTAACTATAATTGATCTGATATGGTTCACCAATAATTCTGAATATAATTTATAAACAGTGTTTAACAATGAAATAGACCTATATGAAGTAGCCTTCTGTGGATTTTCCCCTAGCTTTAAAATGTGCAATTTTAGTTTTTCACCAAGTGCAGGCACATTCTCATCTTGATGCAATAAATTATAGCTCTAAAAATTCTGGAATTCAAATATTCATAATAATATCCATATTAACTATCTTCTTCCCTCTTCTTAAATAAATATCTGATTAATACTGAACTAGATCTCTAGCTATTCAGTCTAAGACATTCAATTTATTGTTGTTTCCCCTTTTGCTCTTGTTTCTCTTGGAATCCTCTTTCGTATTTCATTTTCATTTTGTAGCTATCTGGTGGGCTAATCTCCAAGGTAATTCCATGTTCCAGGGTGCATTCTTCAAGTCGCCAAAGTTTTATTCATATTCTGGATAGTATAAATTATTTCTGTTCCATGTAGTTTGAATATTGTAAGTTTAAATGAAAATCCCAATTTATATCAAATACCCATCTCTATCAACACTTCTGTAAGAGGCTTAAATGCAATTCTTTTTTGTAAAATAATCTGATTAATCACTTGATAAATCACAACTGTCTCAATTCACCTGTTTCAACTTGTGAGCTTCCTGAATAATTTTCTCGCCAGTATGTTCATTAAGAAACTTAATTATAATTGCACTTAGTTTATTCAACTTTGCAAGCCTGAAATTTTGAACTTTGTCCTTTACAGACAAATGTAATTCAGAGAAGAGATCATTAAGTCTCATTACTAGGTAATCCATCATGTCGCTGTTCCCAGCTTTTTTGCTAATACCTCTGATACAGAGATTGTTTCATCTGTCATGATCTTCAACATCTGCCAGAGTTGTTTAACTTCCGTGAGTTCCTTCTCAATCATTTTTATACAAGAGGCACTTTTAATATGTAAGTCGTAAGCTTGACTAGCTGAGAAATGTCTAATATTCGCCTTAAAATTATTTGTTAATTCTTTCAGACATACCTGATGAATCTTTTATCAAAGTAAAGGACTTCTCTCATTCTAGTTTCAGTTTCTGAGTTCTTTAAACAAACTTTTGATTGGGTTGGAATCCTTTTCTCAGTAACAGCCTGATTCAAGAGCTGTGGTTGGCATTTTGGTTTCATCCTCCCCTTCTCCAGTGGAGGAACACTGTTGATTACTTGGTTTGGGCACTTTGTTCTAATCCCTTAATTTTTTTATGAAGCATGTCTCCTGAATATTTTGCATTTTTTGATTATTTTGGAGAGGAATTTAGTTCATTTAAACAGCTGATAATGGCTAAAAACGTTGAATTTGGGAAAGGGCACAGAACTAAGCTTGCATGCTGAATTCAAATGTTGTTTTCACAGAACAACCAAAGTCTTTTTAAAAAGCCTTCCAGAAGAGATCTATCAAGATATTTTCCCTAATGGCTTGGAGAGTTTAATCATAAAGCCCTATTTCCCAAGCCCTCATCTTACATTATTCTTGGATGTAAAAAAATTAATTGCATCAATTTCTGAACACACTCAGGCAATGGCATACCACTGAGGAATGTTAATGTCCCCAATCCATTATTGGTGGCTTGCTTGGAACATGCATGATAACCTTAAGAAGGATCCCTTGATTATGATGTGTCTGGCTGTCATGCAGAAGTGCTCTCTCTGCTTTAATTTACTGGAAAATCGTTGAGACTTAACAAGGGAGGCAGCTAAACCAGGAAGAAGGAAAAAGCTAATGTCTTTGAATCACATTCAAAGACAACTTAGACTAAACCCCTCAGGGAATTAACATGACATAGAAAGATATGTTCCCCTAAAGCAAATGCTGTGGAATTAAGTTTTTGTTTGTGCAAGAACTGGAACATCTCTGCTGGCTTCTGCACATCCATGACAAAAATGCCATCCCTTAAGCCAAATGACGGTCACATGCTGGTTTCAGCAGCAGCAGTAAAGCATCAAGCACAGAGAAGTCTGCGTCTAACCAAGTCACCCAGGCAGTGTGTTACAATAGGGGCATTAGAACAGGACGACAGGAGAGACACTGGTATCTTTCTTTTTGGATAGTACATGGCATACACCAAGAGCAGACCATCCATCACAGGGTAAAAAGCCAAAATAACTTCTCTGTTAGCCAAAGCACAAAAGATTATTCTATGATCACTATGAAAGCCTTTCAGCAGCAGCACTAAGTTTTCTATGAGGGGCATTTTAATAACACTGGTAAAATATGAAGAAAGAAGTGAAAGAGATTGACTTCTTTTAAAAAATTGGTCAAATTTAACCCATCCCTTCTTGCTAACTATTCATATTCATGTGTGTGTGTGTGTGTGTGTGTGTGTGTATAACACAGTTATCTTATAATTGTGGCTGGGAAAAAAAATACAACACCCCATCCAATTATCCAGATTGAAAGGAGCATGCTCATTAGCCTCTCATGATCCTTTTCCACCCCTCTGCTATGTTTCTGCAGCTGGCCCTCCATGCCTTGGAAGGCAACTTTTGAAGCACTGAGTTTGCTGGACTAATGTAGCCTCCCTGCACAAATCTGTCAGCCCCACTAGATAGACCAGACCTGGAAATCAACTCCATTGGAAGGCTAAAACAACTTCTATTAAGACTGGCTATAATAACAGAATCTTACAAGTCTGATTGTGCTGTTCCTCCTCCTCTTTCTTATAGTCGTATAGTCCAGTGCAGTGTTCCTCAACCTTGGCAACTTTAAGATGTGTGGACTTCAACTCCACAGGGAATTCTGGGAGTTGAAGTCCATACGTCTTAAAGTTGCCAAGGTTGAGAAACACTGCTCCAGTGAATTAGGGAGGTGTCTGAGCGGCTTCCAAATGTTACTTTGTTGTTCTGAACTTAAAAAAATAATATTTTAACCTCTTTTGCACAGGTAACAGGTCCTGCGTATTTCCAATAAGGTCATCTTCCTTACTTTCCACAAAATGAGAACTCTAACTGGGCAGGATTCCCCAATGCATGAGAAATCTAAAGGAGCAAACAGCCATCCTCTGCAAATGTCTTGCCCCCACTGAACAACAGAAATGCCAATGGAAGCTAGCACCTCTCTGTGCTCTCAATTATTATGAGAAAATAACTGTCTATATAACATTCCAGAAAATCATCGCCTGTGCTGAGTTTCTGTAATTTCCCAAACTGCACACACACAGTCTTCAATTGTTAAAGACACTGCTTATCCCTC